GCAAATAAGAGCACATTTTTGTGGCAGACAGTTTCATGCATTAGCAACTTCAACTAAACTTGATGGAGCATTTTAAGAAAATTTCACAAAAATAAAATAATAATAATAATAATTCATGTTTTACATCAAATTTCAATAATTCAACCATGAGTTAAAAGTTATTAATACAAGATCAAGTTAACAATTTTTTTTAAAAAATTTGAAAATTATATGATAATTTTTATATGTATTTAAATCAACGTATAAAATATTTTTAAAAATAAAATATCATATAATTTAATTTTTTTAAAAATTATAGACTATGTAAAATTTGATATACATGATCTTGAATATGATATTATTTAATTCAATGGTTAGATCGGTTATATTTATATTATATAAAATGTTATTAAAGATATAAGATTTAGTATAATGTTATATTTTTGTAATGAAAGAAGGAGAAAAGGATGAGAGAAACTTGGGGATTAGAGGGTAAGTTTATTGTTCATAGTTGTTTGATATAGATAAATAAAATAAAAGTGTGTAGATTGTTTTGGTGGATCTCGACTGAAAAATCACACCCTCAAAATTGATGAGATCTATGCAGAAGTAAAAATGAATATATTTTTTTACCCATTTTACCCTCAATAAAAAAACTTGTTACCAAGATACTAAAGTATAATCGGTTATGTTTTAAGTATAATCGATTATATATGTTGTTGTTTGTACATGTTCCATTACAATCGATTATATGATTTTTTCATTGCTTCTCCCTAAAGAAATATCAATTATATAATTGATTATATGTGAAATATAATTGATTACATAACCTTTAAATCAATATAAAAATTAATGAAATTAATAATAATATGAGATGCATAGATGTAATTGTAAAAAAAAATATAATTTAAACTTTTCTTTTATTTGCAAAATATATTATTTTTTAATTTAACTTCTTTTCATTTTTTTTTACCAAACAACTTTTATTTTTATTCTATTAATTTTTTTTCTTCTTTTATTTATTTATTTTTTTTCTTTTTTTCTTATGTACTAAACACATCATAAATATTTAGATTTATACATAGTATCAACGGAATTAGTTCACACACGTTGTACATTTACAATGGATGCATGTATTTCTTTTTCCATCGGTGTCCGAATTAGATGTATATATATTCACGAAAGTTAATTTTGACATGATTTAAATGTTGAACTGCTGATTCGAATTATATTTTGTGTTATTTTACAATATATATTATAAAATATTCCTTTATATATTAGTTTATATGCTTAATTTTATTATTTCATTATATTATGAATATTGATATATTATCTCAACAAAATATAATGATCTAGTCTTATTTCATACATTATTTGGTCTTAATTAATTTCATCAGAATTAAATTTAAATAAATAAATAGTTTACCAAAATTTTGAGTTGATCAGTAGAAATAAAAATAAACATATTTAACTTATTCCACAAATACCCTTAATTTAATTCAAACAAAAATCCCTAGCTAGAGTGATAACAATAATGTAAGTGTTCCAGATGTACTTGAAGCTCAATTTGTACACTAAAATACCTGCATTCAAAGTGTATACCATTATAGATTGAGAAATTTTTTTTTTTTTTTATTACACATTATATACATTATTAGTTAATGTGAAATTTCTAACATTTTTTTTTTCAGATTAAACGTGTGAGATCTCATTAGTCATTATATTATTAGGAATTATATTTCTAGAAATAATATAATTAAAAATGTTATTCCCAAAAATATTTACAAAAACATGTTTCGTTGGATTTAAATATTTCCAAAAATATTTTAAAATTTAAAATAATTAAGATAAAATTTAAAATAAAAGTTATCTCTCTAGTTCTTTTATAAAAACTATAACTTGATAAAAAAAATTTGACCAATCATATAACATCACACCCACACTCTTGTGATGTGTTAGTTTTTCTCCTTCCTCCAAAAAAGTATTATTTAGCTTACTAATATGTGGATACTAGAGATGCTCCCGGCTTATTACTTATTCTTGCCCGACTTTACTTTGTTAAACTGAAAACAAGTTCAAATAAAAAAGGAAAATCTTAATTAATACAAATATGACATTATATATATGAAATATAAAACTATGAAAATAAAGCAATATGTATAATAACTGTAACTGCATGGTTGAGCTTTAACGTACGATTTTTGCTTAAGCCTTAAATATAGTAAATCGATAAAAAGATATCATAAATGAATTGTCCGTGCAGTCAGAAGTTAGATGAAGCCAATGAATGAGGTAAAACTAAAAGGAAAAGGACCCAATTGCATTATATAATCGTAAATCTGAATGGTAAATATAAGATTCTAAGTTATTTAAATGCAGCTGATGGAACAGAATAGTATAAACACTACCATGGATCTTTTAATGAAGCTACCTTCTCCACTTTCTTCAATTTGCACTTTGGTGGTTCGTTTGATGTTGTTATTGTTAGTTGTTTGTTGCAAAACGAAGGGTGTGGTGGAGCTTCCACCAAATGTTTCAATTCCAGCAGTGTTGGTGTTCGGAGATTCAATAATGGACACTGGGAACAACAACAACAACACACAAACACTTGCTAAGTGCAATTTTCCTCCTTATGGCAAAAATTTCAGAGGAGGCATCCCAACTGGTCGATTTGGTAATGGAAAGGTTCCATCAGATTTTGTTGGTACGCTAGCTACTACTATTTTTTCATCACTATGCTCATCATACTCATACATTATATGCCATTTGCTTCACATTTCTGTTCAACCGTTTATGCATGCTTCTTTCATATTCAATTCACTTTATCAATCTTGCCCTTAAAGGTTCTATAGTTTAATTTCTCTTACCATTTTAATATAACACTCTTGAAAATAGCATAGTCATCGTAACATTCCAATGTTGAAAATGATATTTTGATATTTCTAAGCAAATATAAATTAATATTCAAACATCTACATATTAATTTCTCCTACGATAAATGAGATAGAGAAACTAAATTAATAGAATTGAAATTTTACTCTAAAATATTAAGGTCCTGTTTGATAACTGTTTCTGACTAAAAATATTCTTTTGTCTTTAATATGAGTATTTGCAATTGAACTAATTATTCCCTCAGCTCCCTCCTATGATAAGTTATATGTGAAAGAAGAAAATAAAACCTAATAAGTATCATTTTAGTTTTTAATGCAACATTAATTAGTATTTTTAGAAAATTGTTATTATTTCCAAATAGTAGCTGAGATAGAAATGAGCGAATCAGAACTGCTAAAGTCTGAACCTCCCATGCCCTGCTGTCTCAACTTGCAACACAGGTTGGGCTTTATTTTATATTTTCATTTGCAAAAATATCACAATCTTATTTCAACGCAATATTTTTTTGAATAATATTCTTATATCTATAACATGTCGAGACTTTCAATTTTTCCATTTTTTTTTCCATTATCAAATTTAATAAGTCTCATTTAAATAAATATTTTGTAATAATTTATACTCTATTGAACTAACTGAATTAAAATTTATTAATATTTTTCTTCTAAATAAAGATAGAAAATTAACTTTTCTTTCTATATTTTTACCGTAAAAAAGAAAAGAAAAAGTATACGAAGAACAATATTTTATTTTTTATGAACATTAGTTTATTTTCAATTTTGTGATAAAGATGTGAAACTGAATTAACCGAATCGATCAAATTAAACGTGTTTTAGACAAATAGTACTTTTTGGTCCAACTTGATGCTGGTTACTAACCATGGAAGTTTGCTCGCTAATCTGAAACTAATTAATTCTCTCTGTATACATTCATTAACAACTAAAGGGTTTAATTGAGGTTTGTATCTCAAATTTTTGTCGGTCTTAGCTCTCTTAACTATTAAAGATATGAGTTTTGTTAAGAGGTAGTACTTTTTAGCACTATATCTTGCAACACAATAAATTATTAAACAAAAACAGTTCATATCTTGATTTCTCAAAAAACTATTTAATATTTTTATTAGTTGATAATAGTGATTTGATAAAAAAAAAAATAAACATTATTTTACTCCTATTTGAAGAATTTATAAACAACTTATTTACACTTATCTTTTACTTAGTAAACATATAGTTGGAAAAACTTATAAAAAATATCTTACGATTAATTTATAAGAGTTATTTCTAATTTTTTATAATATATTCTCATAAAAAATAATTTTTGTGAAATTTATGAAGAGATACTTTTGAATTTCATCAAAAACACTAACAAATTGTTGGTCCAAATTGTATTGGACTCGATTCCCTTAAACAAGTTTTCAAGTTGGAATTTTATATTGCTATGCACATACACATAGGTGAGTTTTTAAAATATTTTATTATTTTTATATACTTATATTTATTTTTAATTACATTTTGATTATTAAATATATTTTTTAATTTATATGTTGCTATACACACACATTTTTAACCCAAAAAATAATTTGATTAGATGAAAAAAAATTATATGTTGCTATAGCTAGTAATTTTTTCATATGTTTTTTTTTGGGTGAGTAGAGGATGAATTTTTAAAATATTTTATTATTTTATATACTTATATTTATTTATTTTATTACATTTTGATTATTAAATATTTTTTTTAAAATTATTGATAGGTGTATGGTAAATTTTATGGAATTAATTTTAAAAATATCAAATTTATTATTGATGATAGGTGTATGGTGAATATGAAACTGATTTTTTCAGTTTATTAGTCTGACATTATATTTTTAAAATTTTTTATGCTTCATTTTAAAAAAAATATTAAAAATAGAACTCTAAAAAGTTATGAAAGATTGAAATACAGAGAAATGTCAGCCAATATAATACCCCGAAAAAAAGCTGAAACGAAATAATAAAATTAAGACAGGACTTGCAGAATTATTAATTTACATCAAAATATATACCAGCTCAGTTAATAGATATTCTTTTAATATTTGTTTTATTGTTCTTTAGATAAATTAGGCTAACTAGGGCATTAAGGAATATATTGTAACATAATTTGTTATTGTATGATCAGCTGAAGAATTGGGCATTAAGGAACTTCTGCCAGCATTTTTGGATCCAAATCTCAAACCTAGTGATCTCGTCACTGGTGTTTGCTTTGCATCCGGTGGTTCAGGCTACGATCCTCTCACATCTAAACTAGCGGTAGGGATACTTAATTTCAGTTATATTCTTCTCTCTCAGCTCTTAATTTTTTGTTTTAGTTTTCTTTTATGTCCTATTCCTACTGTATTTCTTACTTGGTTACTGTTTTAATATCAGGCAGCTATATCATTGTCTGGTCAAATCGACATGTTCAAAGAATACATAAGAAAGCTAAAAGGACTTGTTGGAGAGGACAGAACAAACTTCATCCTAGCCAATAGCATTGTTCTTGTTGTACAAGGTAGCAACGACATTTCCAACACCTACTTTTTGAGTCATGCTAGAGAAGTGCAATATGATATTCCTCATTACACTGACCTAATGGTCAACTCAGCTTCTAATTTCTTAGAGGTACGTTTATACAAGTTATGCACATATATCACTCATTATGCATACAACACTTTTTATGCCCTTTTGATTAATTAATTACCTCACCATAATTAAGTACATACATTAATCATTCTCCATACAATTGAAAGGAAATATATCAACTAGGTGCTCGGAGGGTAGGAGTATTCAGTGCTCCACCAATTGGGTGTGTGCCATTTCAGAGAACAATTCTTGGAGGAATAACTAGAAAATGTGCAGACAAGTACAATGATGCAGCCAAGTTATTCAACAGCAAACTATCCAACGTGATTTCTTCCCTTAACCGGAACTTGCCCAATGCCAGGATGGTTTATCTTGATGTTTACAACCCTCTACTCGATATCATTGTAAATTACCAAAATTATGGTAATCTCACCAACTTTCACTTTTATTACACACTTATATTATTACTATTTGTCAAGCAAATCAATTATCATAATTCATAAAGTTACTAGGTGCCTTCTAAGCCATCATGCACTACAGAGTCGAGAAAAACAAACTGAGAACTAGAAAATGTTTTATTCCACAATATATTTAGACTAATGGTGAGAAAACCAAACTTAACCCGCTGAGGAGTTGACTCCCATTTTTTTGAATTATGTATAATGATAATGAAATTTGAATCAAGAATTTTATGTAAATTATTTAAATCTCACTACAGGCCGATCCTAATGAGTAACACCCATTTGTTTATAAACGAATCCACTAGTTTTTATTTTAGCTTTAGAAACTAAATCTACTACCCTTGTGAGTGCTTTCATGCCAAAATTCTGAAAACAAATATTTATATATAAAAAGAAACTGAAATGATATTTTTGTGATGGCTTTATAATTTCAGGTTTTAAAGTGGGAGACAAAGGATGCTGTGGTACAGGAAAGATAGAGGCCGCAGTGTTCTGCAACCCTTTGGATGCCACGTGTCTGGATGTGGAAGACTACGTTTTTTGGGATAGTTTTCATCCTTCGGAAAATGTTTACAAAATGCTCGTACCTCCTGTTCTTCGAAAATATTTGTACCAGTTCCTCTGAGTTTCTTATTAGCGTTATATATATGCGACATCAGTTTCACACTCTTCTTGCAACAAAAATAATTAATCATTCATTTTAATTTTAATATACTATTAATGTAATAAAAGAACTTTTATAGGAGTAGTACTTATTATTATACAGCCAGTAAAATATAGGTTAATGCATACGAATTAAAATGTTTTATACATTGGTTCATTGTGGAACTTAATATATCAATGTTGGTCAACTTTATCATCATCAATGCCATTCATTGGTTGTGCAATTATTTTTCTTTGTGTCGTGAGATGGGAACTCGTGCTTCTGTCGAATGTCTTCACGGTATGTCCATTTTTATTGCCAAAAGTGGACATCATGTTGATCTGCTCTTTGCCTCAATAAATAATAGGGTTTTCATTCAGATTTGGAATAAACTTTCAATTCGAATTTATTAAATTAAATTGTGATTCAAACCAAATCAATCAATTCTGAAGAGCTGAAGCTGACAATGCTGATATGGGAGGCCAAAACACAGCATGTCTGAATACCACTTTGGCAACATAATGATGTCTTGAGCATGGACGTGAGGGGTGGTTGATTATATGGAAGGTCTAATTGTGGAAGCTAAATAAATGTATTTAGCAAATGCAAATCTGTAATACTAACATGGGCAAAAGTACTGCGGGATTGCTGCAAGCTAGGGGAACTAACCTTCATACAAATTAAATTGTAAACCTTGGTTAATTGGTAATTTATACCGGTTCAAATGTAAATTACCTATTAACCTCCGTTAGGAAGGAAGAGGGAGTTATGTAGGTCTGTTAAATATATTGTATATGGATTTATGGTACCCTTTGTACCTAAGTAATATAATTATCTTTGCTATCCAAAAAAAAATCAATTAATAATTAATTTTAGTTTGCTTTAGTCGATTTTCTTGAAAAAAGATGATAAAAGTTTATGAAAATCATTGTGTCAAAGCAAATTCCGCTCAATAGAATCAAAGAAAAAAATAAAGGAAATACACTATCAAGACTTGACATGAATCAAATCAGAGATGGTTGAGCAGAATTGATCCAAAGAGCAAAAACTCTACTTAGGCAAATTAGAAATGGTAGAGAGGATTTAGCCTAGAGAACAAAGATTTTTGGATGCAAAAAAAGTTAGGTGAGATCAAAAAGGGCTTAATGAAAATAGCTTTCTTCAACTTGAAGAATTTGAATTTCACTCAACCAAATTAGAAATGGTTAAACAAATTGGGTCGCTTAAGTGATACTTTATTTCTGAATTGGCTAATATTAAAGGAGAAATTAGAAGAAATAAAGAGGACTAGAGAGAGAACGAAGAAAAAGAAAAGGATATAACACTTCAAGACCTATGGGGAAGGAAGATCTTGGGTTCATCTTTCTTTTCTTATACTTTCATTGTAAAAGGAGACTATTCTCACCATTATGAGTAGCTAATCCTTGTCTTTGTTAAGATTAAATGTAAATATATCAAACTCTTTTGTAATTCTTTTGATTTATATATATGATTTCTTGTTACTCATCTTATGATTTGAGATTTGGATTTTGATTGCAAAATAATTTATGAATCTAATTTAAATGAAATTACCTAATGATTCTAAATACCTAAAGATAGATTTAGAGAGTTGTTAGTTGATTAAATCTTGAGCTTAATACAAAGATTATAATTTGATAAACTAAGGAATTGATTATTAAGTTATTATCCTTAATTAGGATTTCAAAAGTTAGGGGATTAACTTGAATGATTTTAAGAATTCAATAATACTGAGATATATGAATCATGTGTCGAAAATCCTAATTAGGAGTGTAGAGGAATATGATAGATAAAATTCAATTCCAATAGTTGTTCTTATCATCTTCTTTTAAACTTTATATTTGCATTTTTATACTTATTTGCTTATTAATTTAATGTTCAACCTTCAAAACAACGAACTTATGTGCAATTATAAATTTTTATTTCACAAGTTTTAATTAGGATAATAAAAATTATAAAATATTTGACAATTTCCTTTGAGTACGATAACCAAATATTTTGCAATGAACTTGGTGCATTTGTGAGAATATCAACAATTATGATAAAAATTTGTAATAAATAAATGTTCTTGAAGATAAATTATATTATAATTACAATTTATCATTCATAAATAAATATTCTGAACTTATAAATTATATTTTAGATTTATGATAAATAATTTATATTATAATAAAAATTTATTTTTTAAATTATCGATACTTTTTAAAAATATTAAAAATTAATTTTAAAATAAAGATAAAATAATAAGTTTAAAAATGTTAAAAAAAACATACAAATTCTTTTATAGAAGAAAAACCCCTTAGATTAACTCTTGAAATAAAATTCTTTAGGTTTCTTTGATTAAAAGAATTTTAATTTAATATAGTTATTATAATTTTAATATACAACATGGAAGATTTTTCATAATGAAAAAAATAATATGCGTTAAAGATTTTTTTTTTTCACATTTTCATTCAATCACAAACTATTGTAATATATGAGCATTAAATGCTTTCTATATTTCCTCATAAATTTTACTATAAATTCTCAAAAATAAATATAGAATTGTCTTTAAGTTGTGACCCATGTTATTACTCTAGACATTCTAAGAAGAATTTTGTGGCAATTTTTTTTGTTGTTGCAGAAATTGGTTAGGATTTATGTCTCCCAAATTTAAACTCGAATCTAACATTTAAGAGTTTGTATAAATATTATAACTTTAATAATGAGTAGCCTTATTATTTTTTTTTAGTGAAGTTGAAAAGGCCTGAGGCATATTCCGTTAAGAAGGCAAGTAGGATCTTGTTCACGTGCATCCGGGGGCCACATTTAATTTCATATGAACCCAACTAACTCGTTAGTTGTTAGATATGTCAGTCAATAAGTAGTTGAAGGTTGATAATAATATGAGGATTGCTACACGTTCCCAAAAATGAAACGAATCATCCTCCGAAATTTTAAAAAAATTATATTTTTTAATAAATTTATTATAAAATAATTATTTAATTTAATATTTTATAATTTAAATTATTTTTTTATACATTCGAAATATATTTGAGAGGTTGCATTCACAGAACTAAGAATTTTCCTAATAACAGTGTTCAGCAGCAGGGATGACAAATAAATTCATACCCATGACTCCATGAGTAATACTCAAATCTGTTCTAACTTTGATGAGGAATATCTAGTTTGACTGAGTACGGGTACGGGTACGGATATGGATATATATATATACTCGCCCTGTACCAATACCGTCCTTGATTGAATTATGTTAAAATAATTTAATATTTTATTATGTGTAATTATTTATTATAATGTAAAATATTTATAATTATTTAATTATTAAAAAATCTCTCATTAAAATATGAGATAGAAAAATAATTTAATTTTAATTTAAAAATAATTTAAAAATATTGTGTATATTTTTTATAAAATAATAATGATAATAATTTTTTACGGATACAAGTATGGGTACGAAAATTACATACCTGACAAGTACGGATATGAGTACGAGAATGAATTTGAGTCGCGAAAATAAAGACAGGTATCATAAAACTCATACCCGACCAGTCCGGTTACAATCAGCAGTGCTGTAGTGTGTTAGATCATCACCAATCTTATAACTGTCACCTCCCTCTCAAGTTGTAACCACTTACCAATTGTAGAAAACTATTAACCCATTGCCCTTTTTATTTTATTTTTAGAAACAGTAAATAATATGGTTAAAAATTAGTAAGATGATATATTTAATAATTTTTTTTATAAAATATAAATTTAACCAATTTAATTATTGTATTTAATAATATTACACTCATAATCATGTATACTAAATTTTAAATAATTTAGATCCTTTTAAATGTTATATAATAATATATATTTATATATATTTTAAATATCATTTTATATATTGAAATAAGATAATATGAAGAATAACTAAACAATTTTAGAATTATATACAATTTTTTATATTTAATTTAATTAGTAATATTATTAAATATAATGGTTAAAACAATTGAATTAGTATTTTACAAAAAAATATTAAAAATATTACTTCCGTGTCAACAAATTCTGTCTCATTATTTTAATTTCTAAACTATGCAATATTTTAAAATATAAACAAAATATTAATATACGTTTAACTTAATTATTTATAATTAAAATAGAAAAATAAAATATAAATATATTAAGTATTTCATTTATTTTATTTTATTTTTTTCAAATGCAATTACTTAAGCTAACTTGAATTTAAATTGGTTTTTGGCAACTTAATTTAATATTTTGTGGTTTTAAGCATTCTTACTTGTTACTTCTCAATTGGTACACTAACTCTATTGTGAATAAAATGATAGTGAACAGGATTTGGATAGAGTACTATAATTAGATTAAATAATAAAAATGAATGATTAAATCCAAAAGGTTGGTTTTGATATTACACACAAGGATATTTAACCCTAAAATTATTGTAAGTTTTTAATTGTACCAGGTTTGTTATTTTGAATTATGTGTTTATAACTTGAGCTTTCTGTTAATATATTTTTTTTCATCAAGGTTATTATTCATCTATTAAAGAAAAAAAGAAACTTCAATTAATTTTTGCTATGTGTAAATACTTTGAAACCCTGACAACCAATTCAGCTTTTAATGATTTGTAACAATTACTCTTGCTCAAATTTCACATTCAATTACGTAGTGTCAAATAAATTGACAATCAATTCAACGTTTAATGATTTGTGACAATTACTCCTACTCAACTTTCATATTCAATTAAGAGTTGTGACAAATAAATTGAAATAATAAATTGTTAAATATGATAGAATGAGAATAGATCACTTCTTTCTTTTTAAAATATAAAATGTCTCTCTTATTTTTCTTTTTCTCTCACTCTCATTTTTCTACTGTCTCTTTCTTTCTCTCCTTTTTTTTTTTTTTTTTTTCTTTCTCTTTCTCTCTTGCACTCCTTTATTTCTTTTTCCTTCTCTCTTTCTACTTTTATTTCTCTTTACCTCTTTCTCTTTGTCACTCTCACTCCCCCTCTTTTTCTCCCTCTTTCTTTCATATATATATTTTCTCTATCTTTTTCTTGTATTTTATTATTTTTTGATTTTGTCAATTTTAATAATATTATTAACGTTTGATTTGTTTCTACGATTTAATGGTATTTGTTAACACTTATTTATTTATTATTAGAATGGAATGAAATAATATATTTTATCCTTCTTATTTATCATGTAACATTTTTCTTTATTTATTTTTTAATTTTATATTTAAATAATTTTAATTATAAGTTTTCAACTTTTTAAAAATAATTTAATATCATATTTATAATAAGTTTTGAGTAAAAAAATATATCTGATGAGATTATTTTAATAAAGAATATTTTTGTAAAAAATATTTATAAATCCAATAATATATTATTGTAATCAAACATTAAAATCTTTAATTCTCGAGAATGTTATATGAATATTCCCAAAATCATTATGAGTAATCATACATATTTTAACTATTTCAAAAAATTATGATTCTCGGGCTTTATAATTCCCAAGAATCATAATTCTTAAGTATGAAAAATTTCTCTCATATCAAACATCCTATATATATGTATACTTATTAAGTAATGAAATAGACATTTACCATTGAGTACATCCACAAACATTATTGAATAAGGAGAATATCAATAACACTTTTTTAACACATTAATTTGAAATTCATTAAAAATGACAAAATTCATAAATATAATAAAGGTGATAGACATTTTTTGTGTAAACATTTCTTAGATTGTTTTATCCTTATAATCATCGACTCTTCATTTTTCTCTCACTTCTAAAGTAATAATCTACTTCATGATTCTTATCTTTTATTATTTTTTAAGAGGTTAATTATATTTTTTGTCCTTGAATTTTTGTTTTTAGTTCTTGAACAAATTTTATTTAATTTTAGTTCCTAGAATTTATGAATAAAAATTTTTACAACAAAGACCAAAATATTAACATAAAAAAGTTTTAAGGAAAAAAAATAAAAATCAACAAAATTTCATACACAAATTAGTATATAATTTGATCGGGAAATAAAAAAAATTAGTGAAAATTAAAAGACTAAAATATATATATATTTTTTTTTAAAATATAGAGAAACACAAAATACCTTTTTTTTAATGCTAATTATAAGTAAAAGAAAGGCATTCAAATAAACTGTATAGTATTCAAATAAACCAAGTAAGCTGTCAATTACGTGAATTTAAGCACCTTACTGGTGTAGTGGATGTACGGTGGTATGACATATGCTCTTAATAACCCATATTCTTGACAAGTGTAGTTTTACAAAAAAAAAAAGGTAGAGGTTTATTTTGCTTCTTCTTAATTGGGTGGTCCTTGCTCTATATAAAGACTATTGTAATTTAATATTTTCCTTCTTAATTGCTTCATATATCTAGTATAAAAGGGTTTAGGTATCCCTTGTACTTGTTTATTCTAATAATATTAACTATTTGGTGTAAATAAAAAAAAAAAAATCACAACATTTTGTGATTTTAATAAAGTTTTACCAATTGAAAAAAAGTTTCTTAAAAAAATGTGAAAAAGTGTATTGATAACCTTTCTTTTTTATTAATAAATTTCAAGTGATTATGAACTGACGTATGAAACCAGGTAGCCCGCCCGCTTGCATATGAGTGAATCACTCTTGCACATTTCTTCACGAGAACATGATATGCACCTACCTCACTTTTTTTTTTATTTCTCCCATATTTTTTCAAAAACAATATTTAGAAGTCACTTTGATATGAATTAACTTAAGAATTCAATTATTGAGTTAAAATATTCAGACTCTACAATTGTAAAATTTTATTCGGTGCCGATACCATTGAAAATTATTAGTTCTAATTTAATGAAATTGAAAAAAAAAGGAACTATTTTATGATATATTTAATTCTTATGGTAAACATTTTGGTAAAAGATAATGTTGTATATTCATTTAAACACGCAGTTAAAAGATAATGTTTTATATTCATTTTGTTCATTATATGGTTGTCCCATGCATACCCTAGAAAATCATATTGTTGCTGACATACTCTCGATCACAATCATTATTATTGTTGCGTTTTAAATTTATCAAAGATAAATAAACAAACAAATATTGTTGTTCTGACAAGGCATCAAGATCAGGATATCTAAATAATATGGATAGTAGGTTGATGGTGGTAGGGGGCCAACCACTCCAAGCATCATTTATACGATGCATTCCAATTATTGCTAATGCCACACATGTGTGATGTCTTTGCTAATTTGTTTATATATATATATATATATATATAGGGTTTAGGGTTTGTGTTTTCGTGAGAAAAAGAGTTATTTTTTTAATATAATTATCTGAGTAACTAATTATTTTAGTCTATGAAAATGATGAATATTATCATATTAATCTCTTAAATTATCAGAAAATATTAAATAAATTCTTAAAATATCAAATTTAATTATGTATCATTTAGTTCCTAAACATATATTAAGATTAAATAAGTTTTTAGTTTAAGTAAAATGAATGAGTTTTAATTTATTATTGTTTTTAGTCTTTACCATTATTTAATTATTTTTAACTACTTGATTGATTATTAGAAGCTTAAATGATCATTTTAGATAACATCTTCATCACAATTGATAATACTTTGTTGTGTGATACCTCTATTTTTTTTATATTATAAATTATTGAAAATATTATTTATTTATCAAAAAATATTATAAGAACCAAAATTAGTGTCAAAGAAAAATATTTTTTAGAGATCAAAATCAAAATTTGCAGTTTTTAAAAAAAAATTAAGACATGTTTAAGTCTATAGAGTAATATTATACCTTTAGTCATTTTATTTTGAATTTCAGACAATTGTAATTGTTAATTTATACTTATAAAGACTTTTTTATCATATATATATATATATGTATATTATATTTTCAAGGATTAATATGATAATGTCTTTAAATTTTTAATTATTTTTTTCACTTATTTTTTAAAATAAATAAAATTTAAAGTCTTTCAAAAGTTACGAAATGCTAATTAAAGAAAATAGTATGAGTAGTAAATTTAATTATTTAGACGGTGGTTGCTTGGTTGAAGTTGAACCCTTTTCATGGTGGCGTCACCTTACCTTCGACTCTCACGTGATGGCTTTGCATTTGCAACATTTGGTTTGCATCACCGAAAAGTATCTTACAATCATACTTCTCATCCTCATCCTCTGATCCCCGTGATCGTCACTATCCTTCGATTACAGTTGTTGTTGCCGTCCATCGTTTTTTTTTTTTTTTTTTAAACTTAAAATTTAGTTATATTAACTTGTCTTATTAATAAAGATATGAGATATTATGAGACTTGCTAATTGCTATATGTATTATTAATAAAAGGCACATTTGTAACGAGGAGGGTATACATTTGACTTCTTTAGAACGAGAGGACCTCACCTCATTAAAAAACCTGATGAGCCAATCACCAAGTTCCCAACGAACAACAACCCATATGTTGCCATGTCCCTTCTCTCCACTTCAAATCCCACATATGTTGTGATGCTTCTACTCAAAAGGGAAACCATATGTTGCAGCCATGATAAATTAAAAACCATCTTCTCTTGTATTTTACTATATATTAATTTTTTCCCACTTTTTTTTTACCTATATATTAAAAGTATTAAAAAAATAGCGACCTAAAGTATATATATATATATATGTTTATACTATGCATGTGCTTTGGAGCATGAAATTAGGTGACACGAATTTTTCAAAATTAAGCATGAAATATTATGTCACTAAAATTATTTTATTATTTTATCGTAATCAGACTGATTTCTAGTTAATTAAAAACGAAATCAGTACAAGTTGTCATCAAGTTATATATATGCACACGTGTGTGAAAATATAATTTTCATTAGTTTGTTTGAATGGTTTTACCCTGCCACGGCATGGATGAAGTAACTAGCTGGATCTGAGAGAGACTTACAAGAGCGAAATTAAACAACAAATGCAGTAGTCAACATTTTCTCCTCATTCATTTTTCTTTCGTCTTTTATCCTCATTAAAAAGGTGGACGAAGTTTGCTGTACGTTTCTACGTTAACGATGCATGTCAATGTTCTACGCTTAAGTGGAATAGGGTTAATTAATTATATAAGTGACAAAAAATTTATTCTAAATATTTAATATATATATATATATATATGAGCTAATCACTTATACATTGTCAGTGTAAAAATTTTTTACACTGACAACTAATTATATCTTTTAATTCTACTATGTCACTGTAAACACATTTACTTTTAACAGTAACATGATAGAATTAAAAGATATAATTGATTGTCAGTATAAATTTTTTTTATACTGACAGTATATAAGTGATTAACTATATATATATATATATATAATAGAGTTGTATTCACGAGATTAAAACTTAAAATTACTAGTTAAATAGAAACATTGAATTTATTTATGTGATTGTTTGCTAGTAAATAAATACTTCCCAACAAATTGAAAGTTACTGTTAGCGTACGTATTGGCTACTAATTAAACTTTACCCATAAGAAAGTTAAACTGTTCATCTTACCAGAGAAAGAGGAATAAGAGACACCCAAGACCAAGGGTCTACGTTAAGTACTAATGTAGGTGTAAAGGAAGGAACCAAAATCATCCGTATTCAGAACGTATATATATATATATCATGAAATTAATTAAGTAGCACTTTTTTTACTTTTATTTTTTCATATATACATACAAAAAAAAAATAAAAATTACGACGATATAAATAATTTGAAAGCCTCCGTACATAGGAAAATCCTTTAGCTTGGTTGATTGGCATATTAAAAAGTTGAGAAGTGAATGCATATATAGTAAAGTTACCGCTGGATGCAATTAGTCTTGCTAGTGCAATAAATGAGTAAAAGGACGTGATAAGGTTGCGTTTATAAATAGACCCTACGCAGCGTATAGCGAATAGGAATAATAATAGGTTATTTCCTTGGTACTATATATGGCTGTGTTTAATTGTTGTTCAAGTAGCTTAATTGTCCGTTTGATGATATTGTTTGTGTTATCGTGGAGAACAAAGGGGGTGGTGAAACTACCAGCTAATGTTTCAATCCCAGCAGTGATAGGTTTTGGAGATTCGATCGTGGACCCTGGCAACAACAACAGGATTCAAACCCTCGTCAAGTGCAATTTCCCTCCTTATGGTAAAGATTTTCAGGGAGGGACCCCTACCGGTCGATTTACCAATGGTAGAATTCCCTCAGATTTGCTAGGTACATATCCACTTTCTTTTTATTCTTCAACAGATTTTACTTTTCAAAATCCTTCTAACTTCAATCTTATTTACTCCATACTCCGAAATACTACTTGCTTCAAATTATGATAATTAACAAGAATACCTCATCAAGTCAGAGGACATGTTACATTTTTATCATACCATATTAGCTCTCACGCCAAATATGTGTTGCTTGCAAATTACAAGACTATGCAGTTTTGGTGTTTTCCAAGATTTTAACATCTTTCAAAGTCTCACTCACATCCTACAAGTTACATCATTATCCTACCTTTTATATAGTGGGAGCTCTTTGCGTTGTTGAGACAGAAAATACAAAAGTTACAGTGAGAAAATACTTTACGTATAGTGATTTCTGTGTCCAGTAAATTAGTTTATACTATCGGTCAAAGGATATTAGCCGTGTAAACTAAAAAGAGAGAGGAAAAGAGATAAAGCGAAATCATTTACCTAAGCTCATTAATGTGTATTACTATGTGAGTGAGTTGAAAATGTGACGGAAAATATATGGATAATTATGATTTTCTATAAATTATGTACTTAAGCTCATTAATGTGTGTTATAAATTATAATTTAATATTTTCTTATAAAATCATCATTTGCTTTCTTTATTAATTTCATTGAATTTTGAAGTAAAATGAATATTTTAAATTTATTAAATAATTTACATGATTAACTCAGTTTTTTTTTAAATGAATGTATCAAGGATGTTGCGCAATTTAATTTTCTACCTTTTATATGCATAAACTGAATCTGTTCTAATTTTGGTAAAATATTCTTTTAATAAAAGGTTTTTCCTAAATTTCCGTGATTTTGTACTTGGATAGTAACTATGCTGTCTTTATTTGCCATTGTATAGTCACATCGCACACTAGCTTTGAAAACTTTGTCTAACTAACTATAAATTGACACTTTGAAACCTTTTCAAGACAATTATGTAACAATTATAATTTTATTTATGAATTAAATTATACTTTTGGACCTTCTATAATATTCATTGTATAATTTTGGTCCTTGATTTTTAATTTTATAATTTTGGTTTTTTTAATTTTATAAAATTTGTAAATTCGGTTCAATTATTAAATTTTAAAATTATAACATTATCATGATATTTATAATTTTAAAATTATAAATATGTTGCAAAACATATTTAGGATTCTCAAAAGGTTTAATTTAGTTGTTTGAGTAGGGTGTATAAATTATTGTAAATTTTCTTATTGTTGAATTTGATTCCTACGAAGAAAAAATATATTTAGAACACAATAATTTAAATATTGTGTGCAGACTTGTATATTTCACGGCATTATACCAAAATTAATTTTTTGTGGTAATTAATTTATTATTTAGCAGTCATATAAATGGTCATCATTTTTTTTATCAGCATTTAAATAAAGGTTGGTGTATCTAGTGTCGCTAATACTATTACCAGCATTTATATAAAATGCTGGTAAAGATCTACTAAATTGTTGGAAAAACTTATTTTTTTTAGTGAAGTAGCCATTTTAAAAGCTATTAAAAGTTATTTTTTTCAATTGTCTCTTTTACTTTAAATAATTTATTCCTATAATTTCCTTTTCTAAATTCATAACTTATATACTTTTTTTTATCTCTACTCGATGCGGGATTTGTAAGATGAGGGTTATCTTTTATTTATATATTTTTTAATTTATTTTTTTAATTATCTTGTCTCTTAAGAAATGTGAGATTTATAAGGTGAAAGTTGCTCTCTAATTACTTTATAACACTATTGAATTTGGTAATAATGGGTGATTTGATACCAATTTAGAATAGTGAATTAGGAGTCAACCTTATAAAATGAACCTGTAAGGTGATAATTATTACTCACTTATATACTATTTAATTATCTTATCTCTAATCGATGTGAGACTTAAGTTTTTTCTAATAAATAATTGTCGCTAATAGTAAACTTTAGTGTAATATAAATACATTTTTAGTGGCTATTATATATTAGCCATTAATATTTTTATATATGG